TTTAACTGGTAATGCAACGCTGTACCTAAATGAAATGTGTAGATTTTTTTTCACACAAATAGAGATTTCTGCTGCTGGTATTTAATTATCACTGGGTTTTTTCTTTTTTATTATTTAAACTTAAAAAGACCACAAAATCTTAAACATAACCAATAATTTTTACTTTCCGTTATAAAACATATCCAATAAAAAAAATCTAATTTCCTCATAAATTTAGGCCAAAATGTACTCTGCTACATAGGGGCGGACTGACAACTAATGGGTCCCCCGGGCAATAGGGGATCATGGGGCCCCTGTGTCCTTGCCCAAACTCAAAAAAGCCTATGAAATAGGTACCAGGGGCATCTCATGGGGCCCCCTATTGACTCTGGGCCCTCGGGCAGTGCCATGTTCCCAAATGGTCAGTCCTCCCCTACTGCTACATGTCTTTGGTAAAACAAAATCCCAATCAGTTTAACAGACCAGAAGGGAACAAATACAGTGCTTTGAAAAAGTATTCATATCCCTTGAAATTTTCCAAAATTTGTCATGTTACAACCAAAAACATAAATGTATTTTTATTGGGATTTTATGTGATAGACCAACACAACGTGGCACATAATTGTGAAGTCGAAGGAAAATGATAAATGTTTTTCAAAATTCTTTACAAATAAATATGTGAAAAGTGTGATGTGCATTTGTATTCAGCCCCTCTGAGCAAATACTTTGTAGAACCACCTTTTGCTGCAATTACAGCTGCAAGTCTTTTTGAGTATGTCTCTACCAGCTGCTTTGCTCATCTAGAGAGTGAAATTTTTGCCCGTTCTTCTTTGTAAATAGCTCAAGCTCTGTCAGATTGGATGGAGAGCATCTGTGAACAGCAATTTTCAAGTCTTGCCACAGATTCTAAATTGGATTTAGGTCTGGACTTTGACTGGGCCATTCTAACACTTGAATATGCTTTGATCTAAACCATTCCATTGTAGCTCTGGCTGTATGTTTAGGGTCGTTGTCCTGCTGGAAGGTGAACCTCCGCCCCAATCTCAAGTCTTTTGCAGACTCTAACAGGTTTTCTTCTAAGATTGCCCTGTATTTGGCTCCATCCCTCTTCCTATCAACTCTGACCAGCAATCCTGTCCCTGCTGAAGATAAGCATCCCCACAACATGATGCTGCCACCACCATGTTTCACAGTGGGGATGGTGTGTTCAGGGTGATGTGCAGTGTTAGTTTTCTGCCACACATTGCGTTTTGCTTTTAGGCCAAAAAGTAAAATTTTGGTCTCATCTGACCAGAGCACCTTCTTCCACATGTTTGCTGTGTCCCTCACATGGCTTCTCGCAAACTGCAAACAGGACTTCTTATTTCTTTCTTTCAACAATGGCTTTCATCTTGCTACTCTTCCATAAAGACCAGATTTGTGGAGTGTATGACTAATAGTTGTCCTGTGGACAGATTCTCCCACCTGAACTGTGGATCTCTGCAGCTCCTCCAGAGTTACCATGGGCCTCTTGGCTGCTTCTCTGATTAATGCTCTCCTTGCCCGGCCTGTCAGTTTAGGGAAGTTTTTTTTATAATCTAAGCCGGCTTTAAACTTCTCCACAACTTTATCTCTGACCTGTCTGGTGTGCACTGTAGGAGAAGTACAGTTTATCTAAAGCACAGGGTTTGCCACCTCCCCTGAGCACTTTTTTCTTGGTATGAGAAAAGCATCATAAAAAATGCATCTAAAGCACCTAAATTCTGACCACTAAAATTAATGAATACATAAGTGCTAAAGGCTCCTAGTATTAACACGTGTTAGGTTTTCTGTCTGCTAAAATGCTGCTGCTCCTAAAGGTACCTGCAGTGAGTTTTTTTTTCTGCCTCTGAGCCTAAGTTTACACTAGGCCGCACGCTGTGGGCTGGTTTGCGGAAATTGATGCGATTCCCGCACCTGCAACCACCCGCAGCGACATCGCATTTCTCCAGAAGGAAGACCTGGTTAAGATGGAAGCCCTGACAGCAGTGACAGCGGTCCACTGGAGGGCTTCGTTGTAAGATCAAGTTTCTCATATTGTGCTAGTATATGATGTATACTAGCATATTATGATATTACCAAGCATGGGGAAAATGTTTTGGGTTTTTTTTGGGGAGGAGGGGGGGAATTTACTATTGCTTTAAAGCCTTATGCATCCTTAAAATTTCACCTTCCCTATTGAGTTGAAATGATCAAATTTCAGCGAAATGAAAATGAAAGTTTTCCTAATCTCTACGTGCAACCTTTGGTGTGCCAGTCCTTTCTGGAAATGCACTACTGCCAGTTTACCATTACCAACCAACTCCACTCAAATATTTTTTTAGGTTAGACAAAGTGTTGAAATTACTTTGGTTGTGATAGAACACATCTGGGTTTTTGTTCTTGTTCTGCACCTCAAAAGTTCCAGGTGCTGTATGTTTTAATAGATTCTAAGTAATATCCTAGTGTTAATGGGATATAGTGCCACAACCAGTAAGTCAGTCTAACAATTATATGTTAAATTAGAAGCATTGGCAAAATTTTATTACAATCTATGTTCATTTGAAAGGTTTCTTCTAACTTCCTGTCTGTGTAATGGGTGAAAGAAAGAACTGGAAGTGAGGTGGAGATCCCCCATTGGGAAGACAATCAGAAATAAAAGCATAATTTCTAGCAGAATGAGGAAGGTATAGAAGCTTCATTAGATTTTTATTACTGTCTTTGTCATTAATTCCCCTCATATACAGAACCATTATATTATCATAATGTAGATACCCATAAAGAGGAAAATGTAATTTTATAATGCACCTAATAATAGCCTGCCTTTAGGACCAACATATGTGCCAAGTGAATGGTCTTTTGAGAAAGATATCATGTCACTCGATTCTAATTATCACCTGATGGTATTATCACCTTGTAATTAGAGTTTGGCTGGAAAAAAGGCCAAAAGTAGGTGAAAATCCCATTAACTGGCAGTGACATCAGATGACATTGAGCCCCTGAAGTGTTGTTTTCTGTCACCTGTACTAAATAAAGATGCAACAGAATTGAATAATTAAGAAGAACATTAGCTGCTCCAAATTAATACAGATTGACCATATTGCAGGTTTTACTAAGAGTGATGAAGAAAGGACTAGCGGCCTGCAGCACTAACTTCAAACACCTTTTTTTTCATCATCCTTCCTGGTTTAGACTGATGAAAGCTGAATATCTATCAATCCTTCTGTTGTATTTTAATTGACGGTAATTCAGTTTGGAGTGGACACTTGTATGTTCAATCACCTAGGAGCTTCTTCTAACATTTGGTGCACAAGACAAAAGGCTATTCCAAAAGGTTCAGCACCTGCTTGATAGTATTGCTTAAAGCCTAGTACACACGATCAGAAAATTGTATGAAAAATACCGCTTTCAAAGCGATCATATGATAATCTGATCATTAGCACACAGCTTTCGTCTGAAATTATTTGAAATGACAAGCATGAACATTTTTCTCATACAATACCAGATCTTACGATTTTGTTTAATCAGTACAGTTTTTGACCGAATATACAATACAAAACATAACATAACTTCCAAATATTCTTTCTGTCATGCAAGAATGTTTGGAACTTCAGTAACCTCTTCACTTTCTATTTGAGACTAGCATGCAAAAAAAAAAAAAATGGACAATCATTCGTCCAATATTTTCACTGCATGTATGAGGCTTAAGGCTCTTTTACACTAATGGTGATTTGCTTTTCAGAGGGTAGTGAAAGGAGGTTAGCAGGTGTCCAGGAGGCATTATTGCCGCCATCTGATTGCTGTTTTTTTTTCTTTTAGTGCCAGCAATTTTGCATGGCGGGTATGGATCGCAACTGCACACAAAGCATTCAGTTCGTGATTGTGACATGGCCCCATTCACTTACATGGGAGAATTTGACAACCGTTGCTGTCTGTCAAACTCTGCATGTAGCGTGAAAATTGGGACACGCCAATGCAAAGCATTGTGGCTGTGGCAATGTATATGCACCCTAGCATCACCATATCCACATGTACTGTATGTCAGCGGCTGGGGAGAGGGGAAGAGGTAAAAACCCACTACAAACTGAAAACACTATTTAATTAATTTTTAAAATTCAAAGAGAACTCTCCATCCATCTTTGTCTGCATGCTGTATTTTGTTGAGAAATTACTTTAAAAAACGCTTCCCTAACATTTCTAGCTGTGGCCATCTTGAGTAAGGGCAGGTGATTCATGTAGCATGAATCATCTGGAATAGAATCTATCTGCCCTTAGTTTGTACATGCAGGCAGGAAGATGTTGTTAGCTGAGAAAGCTAATTATTAAAGGCACACCTCCATATAAGGTGTATTACTTTTATCACAAAACTACACAGCGCCTGGCTCCTGTTCATACATTATCTGTATCAGTGGTTGTTAAAGGATAAGTTCACCTTTTGACAAAAAACAATAAATGCACTTTTTTGCAGGTAATCGATTAAATACCACCAAAAGAAAGCTCTATTTGTGTGAAAAAAATGATAAAAAGATCATATGGGTACAGTGTTGCATGACTGCGCAATTGTCATTCAAAGTGCAACAGCAATGAAAGCTGAAAATTGGCTTGGGCAGGAAGGGGGTATAAGTGCCCGGTATTGAAGTGGTTATTAAACAGCACATCGTTGGTGCCATGCAGATCCTTGCAGACCTGTCAGTATATCTGTTTGCCTGTATGGTATGTACAGGCCAGCAGATATACTGACATGAAGAATCAATGGAATGAACTACCACGGTACTCCACTTGTAGTTCATTCATTCATTCACTGAGCTCTGTGAATGAATGACTCTGTCAGGGATCCGGGTATGACCAGAGGTGTGTGGACTGACACAGGGAAACACAGGCTTCAGATATGGTATAAACAATATGATTTATTAAGACTAACAATACAAACGCAGTGCAAAACTAAACATAAACACAGTGCAAACAAACCAAACCAAACCACCTACAGATAACAATACATACAATGCAAGAGTCGTCAGGCAGGCCAGGTCAGTAGCAAACGGGCAAACGGAGTACCAGGAACAGGCGGGAGAGTGGTCGGGGTCACAAGCTGGGTTCAGTAACTCACGGGCAGCGAGGTGCAGAGGGTCAGGCAGAAAATGGTCAGGGTCACAAGCCAGGAATCAAACAGGAGAAGTCATCAGAGGTCAGGATCAGGCAGGGTCGGCAACAAGTAAGGCAGAAACAGAAACAGGAACACAGGATACAAGATACAGGGGCCCATGGAAAAACACACACCAAGGCCCTGACTGTGAGTCTGGCCATTCCTTAAACACAACCCCTGCTTCAGGTGTTTGGCTGACTGCAGGGGTGAGTCTCTGATTGCTGAGAGCACCCGCTGGCCAGCCCTGGTACTGCAGCCCACAAGGCAGGTGAGTCCCACCATTATTGGCAAGTCCATTCCTGACAGACGCAGCCATGTGGGCAGACCCCGCACGGCCTTGCTGTTCTTAAAAAGTGACAGCTTGTAAGGGGAAATTCTCCCTGTATTGCTGTCAAGGGGGAGGGATCGGGAAGCATTGGGAACATGTTACATCTTCTACCCTAAATACGGGTGGAACATGTAACATGTTCCTAAAGGTGAACTTATCCATTAACTTGTGATCTGCCCAAATTTTCTGCTCATCAGCTATACTTATTGTTTATTTAGTGTATTTTATTTGTGGCACAAGACAATTCCTCTTCTTCCGATGTGGCCCAGGAAAGTCAAAAGATTGAACACCCCTGCTCTATAGTCCCCAGAGTCCATTGGCAGTATAATGATTACCCAATACTGATCAATACTTAGCACTGCAGCTCAGATCCCTACCGTGCACACCTGCCATTCCCTGTCCTCAGTGGATTTTAAAGCGAGGCTACAGCTAGACATGTGCTTTCATTTTGTAAGAAATCAATTTTTGGACAAAATTTTGATTTTCAGAGATTCTGATGTATACAAATCTCTGAATGGACATAGTAATGATTGTAAACAAATCCAGAAAAGGTTATAGCAAAATTAACGAATGCATTTATTTAATTTGGATGACGTCATATGATGCGATAGTAGTTCTGGCCAATGGGGGGGTTAATAAAATGTTCAAATTCCTTCCATAATTCAGATTCCAGTAAACTTGTGATTGAAATTGAATTTGTTATTGTCACAGTCAGTTCAGTTCCACAGCCTAATGGAATTCTTAGGTTTGCAAAATACGTGGCCGCTGAATTTTGCATTATTTATTCTGTTGTGTCTGAAAATATTGAATAGTTTCAAAATGTGTATAAAGAATCCACCCGAAATATCGAAACTGCAAACTAATATATATCAATCTTCTGAAAAAATGACAACTTTTTCGAATCCACCCGGACCAACAAATATATGAAAGGAATGCCAAAAATACAAAACGAATTCCAGAAACTATTCTGTTCAACATAACGAATATGACGAAACAAAGTTCTTCAATGAACGAATGCATCTGAAACAAAATGAAATGATCATTTTTAGCGTGCAAATGTCTAGCTGCAGCTTCAAGCCCATGTCCAGTTAACAGATTTGTCTGTTTGCTCATGCTCTGGATAGGGGTCTGTCTAACTTCTGTCTAATGCCTAGTACACACTATCAATTTTTTTTTTGTTCAACCCAGCAGGCTGATTGAAAAAAAAACCTGAAGAGTTTGGGAATAGATTCTGTACTAACAATCTGATGTTAGTGCAAAGACAGAGGGATGACCTCCCCGCCAGAACACGCCAGTCAGCACTCACAGCCCATGGCTCGGACCTTTTTCGGTCATGCCCTTTCAACAGAAGATGGACGAATATCCGGCTTCTGTCGGACCAGCTGTTGTATGGTCAAATGTTTCTATTGAACTGGCAGATACCGTCCAATATTGGGCCCATGTGTACAGGGGTTTACAGTTCACTCCCTATCCCTGTTCACTATTTAAATGCATTTGAATGCAGCTTGTCTGTGCTTATCCTGATATTCAGCCTGTTATCTCTGTTTGTCTGAAACTTGAACCTATCTACCTGTTGTTGGCTATTGCCTCTGGCAACACATTGGGGTTTATTTACTAAAGCTGGAGAGTCCAAAATCAGACTCCCTTCTGCATAGAAGCCAATCAGCTTCCAGGTTTCATTGCCAAAGCTTCATTGAACAAGCTGAGGTTAGAAGCTGATTGGTTTCTATGCAGAAGGGAGTCTGATTTTGGACTCTCCAGCTTTAGTAAATAAACCCCAATGTGTCCAGAGGCAATAGCCAACAACAGGTAGATTGGTCCAAGTTTCAGACAAACAGAGCTTTAGTAAATAAACCCCATTGGGTCTAGCAAACTTCATAACAGTTTCTAAAATCAGATATAAAACATCAGTTTAAAGGCTTATAAACAGAAAAAAAATGTAAGATAAAAGTGAGCCCGAACCTTTATGTTTTCCCTTTGAATAAGTGCCTTACCGCCTTTTTTCCCTGATGATTCGTTGAACTATCTGTGTTTCTGTTGTGCTTTTAGTTCATTAGTATAACTAAAAGATCTACACTGAACTGTGGCAAGTTCCACAGAGTATCAGCATTGTTCAGAAACAGGCAATTAAATATGTTGTTAAAAATAGGCACTGAGTGGATCATTTTCCATTGTTGCATTTGCATTAGGACAACAAAGACCTGAGATAGTGACACAGTCATACAAATGGCATTGATTTAGAGCCCAGCAGAAGAGCTGCAGGGTCAAAAGGATAATATGGAAATTTCTAAAGTCAGAGGATCAATTCCACCTGCCTCTGATTCATGGCCATTCACATTATCTGCATATCTCTTATCATTAGGAGCTCAGTTACTGTAAATGGCAACAGACAAGCCATTATCAGACAGACACTATAATAAAAGCTGTGCAAATGCAGTTATTTGCATAGCAGCCAAACTCAGTAAAGCTGGCCATTTGAAGCCTGTCCAATGCGAGAGCTTGATCTGAATGGTGAAAGAGCGTGTTTCTGAACAGGCCACTATAACTAAACTATTTCATGTGCTTTCAATCAATGGTTTATGTAAATGAGGTTTTATTAAAAATCATATTTTAAAAACTATTGTATGCCTGTCATCGAAAAATGAACATCATCGGATAGACACCCTTTGATACCTATTAACACTTTCCTTACACCGCCCCAATTCCCCACATGGTAACTGGCAACACCTCTTACTGTGAACAATTACATACTTGATTCTAGGTCAGCTTTAAAACTTGGCTGATGCTTGTGCCTCAATCGCTGCATTATGGGTAGGTAATTGGCATGTCTCATGCTCCTTCATATAGAATTTTTACAGTGGTGGTAGGAATCAGAGCAGTGGGAAGGCTGCTGTAGGTATAGGCAATAGAGCATACAGTAGTCTGAGGTGTCAGCACTCTTATAGGCCAGTGGTGGGCAACCTTTTTTTTCAACTGAGCCAAATCTCGCCAAAACCACGATTTAAATTTATTTTGAGAGCCACATTTTTAAAACTGAAAATACATAGGATGGTACACTGTTTTTAGTTTCAATAAGTTTTTATAGTAATTCATCCCCCATAGTAATTCATCCCCCATATAGTAATTCATCCCCATAGTAATTCATCCCCCATATAGTAATTAATCCCCCATATAGTAATTCATCCCCCATATAGTAATTCATCATCCCCATAGTAATTCATCCCCCATATAGTAATTCATCCTCCATATATTAATTCATCCCCCCTATAGTAATTCATCCCCCATATAGTAATTCATCCCCCATAGTAATTCATCCCCCATATAGTAATTAATCCCCCATATAGTAATTCATCCCCCATATAGTAATTCATCCCCCCCTATAGTAATTCATCCCCCATATAGTAATTCATCATCCCCCATATAGTAATTCATCATCTCCCATAGTAATTCATCCCCCATATAGTAATTCATCCCCCATAGTAATTCATCCCCCATATAGTAATTCATCCCCCATATAGTAATTCATCCCCCATAGTAATTCATCCCCCATATAGTAATTAATCCCCCATATAGTAATTCATCCCCCATATAGTAATTCATCCCCCATAGTAATTCATCCCCCATATAGTAATTCATCCTCCATATATTAATTCATCCCCCCTATAGTAATTCATCCCCCATATAGTAATTCATCCGCCATAGTAATTCATCCCCCATATAGTAATTAATCCCCCATATAGTAATTCATCCCCCATATAGTAATTCATCCCTCCCTATAGTAATTCATCCCCCCATATAGTAATTCATCCCCCATATATAGTAATTCATCTCCCATAGTAATTCATCCCCCATATAGTAATTCATCCCCCATAGTAATTCATCCCCCCTGTAGTAATTCATCCCCCATATAGTAATTCATCCCCCATAGTAATTCATCCCCCATATAGTAATTCATCCCCCCCTATAGTAATTCATCCTCCATATTAATTCATCCCTCATATAGTAGTAAGTAAGTAGCAAGTAGTAAGCCAAGTCCCCCCTGTGTCAATTCACTTACCTTTGCTCCGCGCGTTCCTCTCGCCGCGTTCCCGTGCCGTTCCGGTCTTCAGGGCGGACTGTGAGAGCAGCCTAGCTCCTCTCACGTTCGTCACGCTGCCCCGCCTACACACATCCTGACAGCCAATCACTGGCTATCAGGATGTGAGTGGCAGTGAGACTGGCCAATCATTGCATTTGAGCGCGCTGCCCTGGCTGTTTTTTTTTTTGGATCACGCTGCAGAGTCCCTGCGCCCGAGAGGAGGGAGGGGAGCGGGCGCCCGGCACACAAGAGCCGCATTAAAGCGTGTAAAGAGCCGCATGTGGCTCGCGAGCCGCGGCTTGCCGACCACTGTTATAAGCAATATGGCATACAGTGGTCTGAGGTGTCAGCATCTTATAGGCAATATGGCATACAGCGGTCTGAGGTGTCAGCATTCTTATAGACAATATGGCATACAGTGGTCTGAGGTGTCAGCACTCTTATAGGCAATAGGCATACAGTGGTCTGAGGTGTCATCACTCTTATAGACAATATGGCATACAGTGGTCTGAGGTGTCAGCACTCTTATAAACAATATGGCATACAGTGGTCTGAGGTGTCAGCACTCTTATAGGCAATATGGCATACAATGGTCTGAGGTGTCATCGCTCTTATAGGCAATATGGCATACAGGGGTCTGAGGTGTCATCACTCTTATAGACAATATGGCATACAGTGGTCTGAGGTGTCATCATTCTTATAAGCAATATGGCATACAGTGGTCTGAGGTGTCATCACTCTTATAGGCAATATGGCATACAGTGGTCTGAGGTGTCATCACTCATATGGGCAATATGGCATACAGCGGTCTGAGGTGTCAGCACTCTTATAGGCAATATGGCATACAGCGGTCTGAGGTGTCATCACTCTTATAGGCAATATGGCATACAGCGGTCTGAGGTGTCAGCACTCTTATAG